TCATTTTCAACTCTGTAGTTGTTAGCAGTTAATACTAATCAGTCTCACCTCTACAGGAAGCATCATGTCTTTGAATTGAGTGGTCTGGTGACACTGTTAATGAAGACATGTGAAGACATCTGCTGATGTGTCTGTCTGCCGCCTCTAAATCCGTCAGCCCTGCACAGAAGCTGCGTACAAGCCAGCAGCGCTTGTTTTTATGACATTCTTACAACCATCCAGGTTTTAGCCCAGTGTCCAGTTGCACGAACGTCGCTCCCGCCCCGTCTCAGTGCAGCGAGTGTGAGTGATAATTTAATTTGGCCTACTATTTATAAAGCACTGCACACCCAGATTGACTTATACAGGCCGCAGCATTCTTCAGAATCAGAAGGTATCATTTTTAATGCCTGGTCAGGTTCAAGGAGTTAAATAGTCAGCCTGTCCACGACACTCGTGACCTCGTGAGTGTCAAGCTCATGTACTGTTTATAAGAAAGTGACGGAGCTGTTTGGCCACAAAACCGACGACTTGGCCATGAGACCAAATAGAGCTGCACTTGTTCCAGTGGCTTCCTATACCTCGTCCTGTAACTGACAGGTGTAGCAGGCAACGCTGGCTTGTCAGTCACACACTGACTTCACTCATCTGTCATGGATAGATCTCTACACTCTGTTTTTGCTAAAACCTTTGGTTGCAAAACATTGATTTCTAAACTGGTTAAGCTGAAAACACTAAGTCTTTATTATTATTATTATTATTATTATTATTATTATTATTATTATTATTATTATTATTATTATTATTATTATTATTATTATTATTATTATTATTATTATTATTATTATTATTATTATTATTATTATTATTATTATTATTATTATTATTATTATTCCAGGTAGATGCAGAGTCAATCTCACTTTCAAACTACAGATTATACTTTTTAATTTTTTAAATAGCCTATAAACTTATCGTGTTAATGAAAAGGTGATGGAGACTAGTGGAAGGTTACTTTCTCCATGGCAATGAAAACAAAAAAGCTTGTTTACCCAACAGCTTGTAAGGCGAGCTCATCGTTACCAAATAAACTGGACTTGATGCTACATGGCTATCAACAGCTTTAACAACAAACGTGGAAGTCTTAGAATTGATCATAAAAAGTCCGTTAACCAATTTAGGAACATGTTCTAATGTGTTAGTTTAGAGACGTGCCACGGCACCTTGGACAACTTATTCATTTGTTCTCTACTGCTTGATACTTCTCACAGTCCCTGTTCTTCAAACACTTATAGCAGTTGAGAACAGTTAACCTTAACAACAATATGCAGCAGAACTTGATAGTAAAATGTGAATGTGTGGACGGGTA